TGTTGAAGAATAGAATTTTTTTAACCCTCCATTTTTTGTCTCTGTAGAAGCTGTGCAACTCTTTTTAAAACACGATTTAAAACATTTTGTTATTCTAACAATTCTCTCAACAGCATTTCCAATGGTAATCGGTATTGTTACGCTGTACTTATGTATTCCCTTTACCTGAACACTTGTTGCTGCCTCACAAAAAAATAGAACTTTTATGTTAAAAATAAAGTCTGTTCTTCTTGAGTTTTTTTCTGTGAATTTTTATGAATATTGTCCAAATTCAATTACATTTCTTTTTGGACTGGTTATTTAGCTTTTAAGTGGTACATTGTTTTTCTCAAACTAATAGAAAAATGTGTTTGTGTTCAGCAGCAGGTTCCTTGCTACCCCTCACTTGCCCTAGAACTGAAGGTACCTGCTCTTTGGGGTAAGTGCTAGGCACACATTGACATCTAAGCAGCACAGAGAGAGACTCGTGTGAGGAATTCACTGCTTCACAGTTTTGTTAGAGGTAACTTAGCTGGGGCAGTTACCTAAATTCAATATAAAGTACATAAAGAGGAGTTTTTTTGTTTTGTTAATTCTTGGTAATTCAGCCATATTCTTTCTTTGTGACAGTGTCTTATATATATATGCAAGACAGTCGTTCAGTTTCAGGGGACAGTTGTTGAGTTTTAGGGGTTTTGTCTGTATCCACAACAGAGCTGGTCAGAAGGCTACATTGTAATAACTTAGAAAGTAGGGACACATTTTAAGTGACATACATCACAGTAATTTTGCCACCATGCCTGGCTAATTTTTATATAAATTTATTTATTTATTTATTTTCGTAGAGACAAGGTCTTGTCACATTGCCTAGGCGGGTCTCAAACTCCTGGCCTCAAGTGATCCTCCCATCTCTGCCTCCCAAAGTGCTGGGCTCAAGGGATCCTGCCGCCTCAGCCTCCCAAGTGGTTGGGACCGCAGGTATGTGCCACCATGCCTGGCTAATTTTTATATAAAATTATTTAATTTTTTTTTTCATAGAGACAGGGTCTTGCCACATTGCTTAGGGTGGTCTCGAACTCCTGGCCTTAAGTGATCCACCTCTGCCTCCCAAAGTGCTGGGATTATAGGTGTGAGCCATTGTGCCTAACCTGTTAAAATTTTTGAAATTATTTCTGAGCAAAAAAGTTAACCAGAGTTTGAGGATAGCTAATATATTTACACAGTAATTTAACATAGTATCAAATGCAAAGAGAATTCTAAAATTGGCACATAAAGTTTTCTCCCTTTCTTTCTCAGTGTTCCCCCACCCCCACCTTTAAGAGGTTGAGGAGAGCAAATATGTGAAATACAGTCCTTGTCTTCTCTTCTTTGTAGCACTTTCCCTGCTAATGTGTAACAGATACTGGTTTTTTTCCTTTGCTAAGATTAGGTGTGCTTTTAAAATATATTTTAGTATGATAATGCCAATAGCCTTTGTAGCTCTTTGATTCAGTGTTTTCCCAACTGTTTGGGTCTTGAAATGAATTAAATGGGTTCAACCAACTTTTAAAACAAGAAACAGAACAGAAAACATAAGTATATTCGTACATAAGGAGACTATTTTTCATGTGTAAAACTTTTGTTAGATGTATATACATATGTCCTAGCTTGTCGTATAAAAAGTATTTCTTACTGAAGGTTGTTTTAATAAACAATATGAAGAATATTGCTGTATCTACAGCTTTTAGGTTTGTCTGGTATCTTAATGCAGAAATGAGACTGGAGTCTTCAAGACATTGTTTCTACTTCCCTTTAATACGTAGCTCCAAAATGTCTAGGTTTTATAAAAACAAACCAAAAACCAGAATAATTCTCTTTCATCATTTTGCATCATCCTCAAATTGAGAATTTATCTCCAATATTCTAACTTTGATTTTATGCAGTAGTGTGGATTAGTCCTGCTGAATCATTGTTTTATAGAAGACTATCTTGGAGGCTCTGATAGTTAAAAACCAGGAGTATAACCATTTGTCTCAATTCTGTATCTTAAGTAACTATTTTTTAGATCGTTGGGATAATTGAGAGGAGAAATAGAGAAAGTCCTAGATTTAGGGCCACAATTCGGGTGCTAGTTCTGGCTCTGATGCTTAATGTTCATGGGATCTTGGGCCAAGAAGTCACCTTTGTGAACCTGTTTTATTTGTGTGATTAAGGAAATGCTGACAATAGTGCTATCACTTAGAAAATATGAAGACATGAAACTGTAAGCAGACATTATCTGCCTTCATATTTTGTCAGGTAAGTTTATTCATTCCATGGGGGAGCCAGTGGTTTTTGGTCTTGGAAAGTGTTCTCATAAAATTCATTTTAGCCTGTAAAGTTTAAAATTGTCAAAGATAAACTGAAATTGTAATAAAAATTGATAATGCCTATTGATAGCTTACCAAATATCAGACACTTTACATATTACTTTTACCCTAATCTTTATAATAACCCTTTGAAGCTGGGTACTGCTATTTTTACTATCATACAGATAACAAAATTGGAATTAGGTTAACTTTTCCATGGTCACACATCTGGGAAATTTCAGAGACTGGCTTTGAACCAAGTCCGACTCTGGAATTCAGAGTTAATCACAAAGTCTTACTGCTATTTTGCTTGCACCAGTGACACTGATAAAATAAAGATGTTGGAGTCACTGCAGATTATGTGACATTGGGCCACACTGCCTTGTTCTTTGTGATCCTCTTCATTGCTACAGCTGCTGGCAGCGTAGTTCAGAGGGCCAAAAGAATGATCAAGCACATTGGTGACAGACATTCTCCAACTCTTTGGTTTTTAATGTTGCTATAGCTACAAAAAATAAAAAGAAATACTCTTTAATTTGGGGAGCATATCTTTTAGAGAGGCAAAAACTGTTACAGTCACATTTCTGGTGGATTTTTTAATTCACCTGGCTTTTTTGAGGGAAAGACTTACATAGTTGGGTTTTTTTGTTTTTGTTTGTTTTGAGACGGAATTTCGCTCTGTTGCCCAGGCTGGAGTGCGGTAGGCAATCTCGGCTCACTGCAAGCTCCACCTCCTGGGTTCAAGCAATTCTCCTGCCTCAGCCTCCCCAGTAGCTGAGATTACAGGCACCTACCACCACGCCTGGCTAATTTTTGTATTTTGTATTTTTAGTAGAGACAGGGTTGCAACATGCTGGCCAGGCTGGTCTCGAACTCTCAACCTCAGGTGATCTACCTGCCTCAGCCTCCTGGAATGCTGGGATTACAGGCGTGAGCCACCGCGCCCGGCCTGTAATTGGTTTTTAAATCTCTGTGACTTGGTATGCCCATTTAAGAGAGAGGGGACAGTAAAATCATCTGGATCACAATTCAAATGTGTGCTTGAAGGCACTACAAAAAAAAATAACCAAAAATATGTTAGTAGTGGTTATTCCTAGATGGTAGTGCTATGGCTGATTTTTTTCTTCTAGAAGATATTACTTTAAAATGAGAAAAAAGAAACAACTTTTTCTTTCATGTATTTTTAGGTTATGGTCAGTGAGGTTTAGCCACAAGAGATATCACAGGAGAGACACAGAAAAAAATGTTGTAATACACTCACAGGCCCTAGAGAGACAGTCACTGCATGCTGAGAGGGGGTCACGTGGGAGGGGGCTCAGCCAAGCAGGTGGGGAGCGGAGAGGCCTAAGACATGGGCAGGAGCCTTTGGGTCAGGGAGAAGCACACGAGAAAAAGTGAGAACTTCACTGGTGCGTTTAAATGTTACTAGGTCATGGGCAAGGTAGCAAGGGAAACTTGGGGCGGGGGCTGCCCATATCACACTGGGCCAGGTGCTCACAGCCTGTTTGTGGAGATGCTGAGGCAGCAAGAAAACCGGAAGTTTAAAACCTACACTACAAATGTAAAAACATACACTGTAAAATCTCACCCACGACACCAGTCAGAACTTCATCTCCTTTTTGTATTTACTCTTTGGCCAATGAGTGGTTGATTTACACCACTGAGTGAGGAATCATGTCTTGACTTTAAATGCCAAGGATAGTTTGTTTTGAACTCTTTAGTAGTCTTTTAAACAGTACAGAAAAAGATGGAAAATAGTTTATGTTGGTCTTCTGGATGTGACCCATCCTGACCAACCATTTTTCTTCTCATCTTGTCCCACAGTTTTCTTTGCCATGTTTAAACACTTTACTGTTGCATGAAATACATTACTTTCAGTTCTACTGAATTCATATTTTAAAAGTTCATTTTTCCTTCCTAATTTCTATATTCCAAAATTCTGGGACTGCTTCATTGCTTAAGGTAGAGAAATGCAGGGCCCTGCCAATGCTATGGAAGACAAAAATAACTGAATTAATTCTGGCTCTCTTGTTTTTATTCTTGCCTTCAATAAGTCAGGTTACATACTATGGCTTATATTTAATTGTGTCTAGGCTCAGATTTTTGATATTTGATAGTTTTTGTTACTGAAAGTATTTACACAAATAACGTACATTATATTATTTCCTATATCTTATGTAGTCCCTTTCTATATGATATAAATCAGAAGGAATTCATCTCACAAGGATTTTCTTTTTTTTTTTTTTTTTTTTTTTTTTTTTTGAGACAGGGTCTCACTCTGTAACCCAGGCTGGACTGCATGGCCCGATATCCGCTCACGGCAACCTCTGCCTCCCGGGTTCAAGCGATTCTCCTGACTCAACCTCCCAAGTAGCTGGGATTACAGGCATCTGCCACCACGCCTGGTTAATTTTTATATTTTTAATAGAGACAGGGTTTCACCATGTTGACCAGGGTGGTCTCAAACTCCTGACTTCAAGTGATCTGCCTGTCTTGGCCTCCCAAAGTGCTGGGATTACATAGGCATGAGCCACCGCGCCTGGCCTCACAAGGATATTAATTGCCCTGGTTTTATTTTCATTCTCCCATGTCCATATCAACTCAATGTACTTTCCTAATACTATGATCTTGAGGTAAAACTCAAGTTTTTGAATAGGAAAACAATAATTGTATTAAACACTTCAGGAAACAAACTTTTGTTTTATGCCATCTTGCAATCTTTATTAAAAGAGGCTCAGAAAAATAGACGGAGCACGTTTAAACTTCCTTCGTTCTAATGCTGTAAGACCTCTACATTTCTAGATGGTCTATACAGATATGCGAAATATTTATAGTTGAAATACAAAACACTTTTTCAATGTGCAAATACTGAAACCTGTTTGTTGAAATACAGTTTGTTTCTAATCCTATCGAGATTCTACAATTAATGAAGGATTTCAAAAACATACAAAATTACACCAATCTGATCTTATTATGCCCTGATATTCCTGCCTCTCCTAAAAAATGGTTGTAGACACACTAGGCAAAGTTTAGCTCGTCTTTAGACTTAAACATATTCTTATCCAGTATAAAATAAAGTATAGATATTTCTCCCCATGTAACATAGCAAAATACCTATTTTGAGGGTTGGTCTCAGCCTACCATTGGTTAAGGATAATTAATTTACTTCTTATTGAATGGATTATCTAGATCAAGACAAAAAGCAACCAGTCATTCTCTGTTCTGTGCTTTTCCCATCCTTTCCCTCCTTTCTTCAGTGTGGTGGTTTTTTATATTAGCAATATTGGTTTAATAGAGCAAAATTTCTTTGACCACAAAAACTGCTGAGCTTCAAATAACTAATCTTGAGAAAATACAAATATGGTTGCCTTCGTCTTAATAAAGTTATTGATATGCTCTTCAAAAATAGTGGTTGGACTTGTTGGAAGTTAGAACTGGACTTGCTAAGGAAGTTAATGTTGCTCTGGGTTAAAAGGGAAACATACTCTGTTGAAAGAAGAAATGTTATAGAAACTAGTAACTGAATAATAACAGTCCCTGGTATGTCTCCATTTTGGGAGAACCTTTGCTTTTGGAAAATTTAGGGTGTTCCTAGGGCTTTGGACTTCTGCTTTGTCTGCTTGTTAAAGTATCTGTATCAGATAACAGGGACTTCCCTGCACACACGTGAGGGAGATAAATATCTCAGAACTAATGCATTAGCAAGGTGACCACTACAAAGAAAAATGGTACAAACTCTCAAGACATAAAGTTAGCTTTTTTTTTTTGAGACGGAGTCTCGCTCTGTCACCCAGGCTGGAGTGCAGTGGTGCAATCTCCGCTCACTGCAACCTCCGCCTCCTGGGTTCAAGCAATTCTTCTCCCGAGTAGCTGGGATTACAGGCATGCACCACCACACCTGGCTAATTTTTGTATTTTTAGCAGAGACAGGGTTTCACCATGTTGGCCAGGCTGGGTCTCGAACTCATGAGCTCAAATGTTCCACCTGCCTTGGCCTCCCAAAGTGCTGGGATTACAGGCATGAGCCACCATGCCCGGACAAAGATTTAGCATTTTTTGAGGCACTCAAAAGTTGAGAGCACCAGAGTCACCATGGGTACAGAATTCAGATTGGGATTCATAATCATGATCTTGGTGATTGGAACTTGGCAGAACAATGACAGTATTGCATTCTGGGAAATTTCACTGAGTATAAAGGAAGACTTAAAAAATGCTTCTGAAGAGATAAGTAATGGCTCATTAAAATCTAAAGAAATAGGAGTAATATTGTGAAAAGATTTTATGGAAAGACTTCATACCTTTTTTCTGAGTCAATGTTTCTAATAAGGTCTTTCCAGCCTATACTGTACTTGGCCATTGTAGTAGTTTTCCGGAGAGCTTGTGGGCAGTTACTATTATAGGTGGCTATGGATGGGACGTGGACTGCATTTTACCTACTCTGGTCCAATGTTTTCTATGTACCATGACAAACATTACAAGCAATCCTCTTCTAAATAAGCCTGTTTAGAATAGAACTAAGAGCACATGGAAACTACTGTGAATAACTTATTCAAAATGTCTTCTTACGGAAATGCAATGGAGTGGATGCAAAACACTTGGGAAATTGCTTCAGAATTAAAGGGTGGGCAAGAAAAAAGGACAGGAAATTGAGTGATTGATGTGCGTGTACAGTAGCTATGTTTTTATCAGCTTACACTAACTTGCATTAAATAGCCTTCCTCTCTAATACTTAGGTTCTAAACCCTGTAAGGGTAACAGATTTTGCTTAGTAATCAAATAGAGCCTCAGATGATGTCACCCACAAAAAGAGGGAAGTAGAAAAATGAGACACTCCCTTATTGATCACACAGAGCTTTCTGTATGTCTGCCAGAAAGTATTCTGGGTTAAATTATGTCACAAAATATGGGGTAAGTATGCAAATATATGTAAGGATAAGGTGTTCATAAGTGTCTCCTCATTCAGATAGAAATTTCTAGGTATATCAGGAATACTATTGCCAGTTGCTTAGGGAATATTCTCCCCCTCATTTTATTTTCAGGAATAATATAAATACTGCATAATACTATATCGCAAATGTATGAAAAAGTGGGTCTGAAGACACTTGTACAAGCCTTAAGTATTACTGTGCATTCTGAGGTTTAGGAGATGGGAAGATTTTCTGTTTCTACAGAGAATGGGCTTAGCAAATTAATTATCCTGCTATTTCCCCTTCAAGATTTAATAATGGAATTAGGGAGTGTCCATTATTTTGTATGAATGAAAAAACATTACATTTTAGCCTCCAAATGAAGAAAAACAAGTATCAAGTTTCTCTGTGATTTCATTAAAGCAAACTAAGTTCTCAAATCTTATTCTATCTCTCTAACCCAAAACAAAGCTGGTCTGGTTCTAATGCTGTTTTCGAAAACAGAAAATCCTCCTTGTTACTATTTTATTTAAAAACTGACCCCAAACCACAACCCAATTTACATGCTATCTTTTTTTATCCACAGATAAAATTCTCACAGCCAGCAAGGCAACTTGAAAGGGTTTCCAAAGAAATAAGCTCAACTCCATATTGACAGAATTACTCCTAGCCGTTATTTTGACATAAGTTTCAGTATCTAAATATTGCAGACTCCATAGTTTTCTAATATTTTCCATATAGAAGTTTCTAATATTTTCCACATAGTACTAACAGCTGCAAATCCAAGATATGAAAGATGTACTTAACCTATTCAAATGTGGTCTTTACCATCTGTCTAAAGTTGGCTGACAGGTGTTATATTCACAAACACCATGCTTTTGTGTGTGGGTTACAATATAAACTCCTTTCCACAAAGGAAATGCGTTGCAAAATTGATGTCTCAAGGCCACTGAAGTGACATTATAACTTCAGTCAAGCATTAAGGAGTTCATCATCTGAGTGTCCAATAGCATCTGGGTTTGAAAGTGGATCCAAGTCTGCAAATAGATTGAACCAGGCTGACATGTCTTGATTACCATTGTTGGGGGCTATTAAAAAAGAAGAAAACACATTAAAGAGTTTCAGTTTTGAAATCGTTTTTGTACCACATTTAAGATTTTGAAGTAGGTGCTTCTTTTGAATTAAAAAAAAATTTCAGAAAACTGACAATAATCTATCAACTATAATCCCCTTAAGATGTATTATTATTATTAATATTGGTGGAGACTAGGGTTTCCCTATGTTGCCCAGGCTGGTCTGGAACTCCCGGGCTCAAGTGATTCTCCCACCTCAGCCTCCGAGAACACTGGTTTTATAGGCATGAACCACTGCTCCTGGTTTAGGATAATTTTGAAAGGCAAATACAGATAACTTCTGCTTTGATGAGGGGCCTATATTTAAATGATTGTATGCTGCTCTGAGAAAGGAACTGAGTTAAAAGTGAAAAGGCAAGCAATACTGTGGTCTTCATAGAACATTTAAGATCACTTATAGAAGACTCAGATAAGGTTTAAAAGTAAACTTGTTCATATCAAGTAAGAAATGACATTTGTAAACTGCTTCAAGTTGATTTATGTTTATTATAAAAGTGGTATTACAAAAATAATAATATAAGGAAAAAAATTTCTTCTACCTACCACATTACCACACCCAACATTGTCCTTTTGGTTTATAGTTGTTAATGTCTTCCATGTGCACTTTAAAATTTTTTGATGTATGCGTTTTACAGTATGCATTATATCTCAGGTACAACATCTTGTTCATCAGATCCCTCACACTTCCTTATGGAGACTGGAAAATTTTATTTCTCAAGATTCTACACGTTGCACTGTGGCAGACATTCGAGTGTACATTTCGGCTGAGGGTTGGGACTAATAAAGAATGCACAGTGGCACAGACAGTGGGTCATCTCAGAAGTCTAGGCCCTTGAAAGCCAAGGAGTTGAGAAGGCAGGGTTGAGACCCAGGGGACAGTCTTAAGAGCTGGACGTGAAACGAGAGTCACAGTGCGGAGGGTGGAAGGCAGTCCTCTTTCACATCACGGCAACACTCAGCACAGGACCAGAGGGCTGGGGTTTGGGGTGTGGGGATCCAGAGCCCCAAGGATCAGGGCAGAGTGAAAGGCTTCACTCAGTGTGTCCAGTTCTGTTTCTGAGTACCCTGAAGTAGTCAAAATCTGGCTTTGAGTCCTGGGTGTAACACCTACTAATGAGTAATACTGGGCAAGTCGTTTAACCTCGGGCTCTTGTATCCTTATCTGTAAAGTGGTAACCATATGATTCATTATTATATCAGGATACTTGAGAGTAAATAGGGGCACTATTAGTCATGCCAGAAGAATAGATGTCACTAAGATAATACCTGACCTCCTTCATGCAGCTGTTGAGGAGTCCTGAAAAGTATGTAAATATTGTACAGCATTATGCAAATGTAAGACAGTTTTATATTCATCAGTCACAATGGAAAATAAAGGTCTGTCAGTTACATCTTTTATAGAGGCTTTCCTTGTGTACACTATTACTGCTTCCAGAGATTCTTACAGGATAGCAAGCAGAAAATGAATTCTATACAGAGAGAGAAAGCCCAAATTAAATGTAATTAATTTTCATAAAGTAAATACGCTCATAAACAATATCAGCATCAAGAAGTAGAACGTAACTGGGTATGGTGGCTCACGCCTGTAATTCAAGCACTTTGGGAGGCCGAGGTGCGCAGATCACCTGAGGTCAGGAGTCCAAGACCAGCCTGGCCAACATGGTGAAACCCCGTCTCTACTTTAAAAAAAAAAAAAAAATTAGCCGGGTGTGGTGACTCACATCTGTAATCCCAGCTACTCAGGAGGCTGAGGCGTAAGAATTGCTTGAACCCGGGAGGCAGAGGTTGCAGTGAGCCAAGATTGCAGCACTGCAATCCAGCCTGGGCAAAAGAGTGTGACCCTGTCTCAAAAACAAAAACAAAAACAAAAAAACATGACTACTACTCTGAAGCTCCCCTCATGCATGATACCCTGACACCCTTCCAGTCACTATTCACACCCCCCCAACCCCAGGGAATGCCAGCGCAAATCCCATTTTGGTGTATTATTCACAGTATCACAGTAACGCTCATTAGCATATATTTTAGTCAATGGATGGATACGTTTCTGTTGGGTATGTACTTAGGAGTGGAATTGCATATGTATGTTAAGTTTTAGTAGAAACTGCCAGTTTTCCAAGTAGTAGTACCAATTTACACTCCTACACACAGGTTTTTAGATTCTAGTTATTTAACATCCTTGTCAATTAGGGATTTTCTTTTCTGTTTCATTTTAGCCATTGTAGTAGGTAGGTCTTGGATTCCATTTTGCTTTAAATTTGCACTTCCTTAATGACTAATGAAGTGAGGCTCTTAATGAATGAATTTTAAAGTTGTTAAAATTTTCAATTTTATGGCTGGGCACAGTGGTTCACGCTTGTAATCCCAGCACTTTAGGACTCCAAGGCAGGTGGATCACTTGAGGTCAGGAGTCTGAGACCAGCCTGGACAACATGGCGAAAACCGTCCCTAGCAAAAAAAATACAAAAATTAGCCAGGTGTCGTGGCATACCTGTAATCCCAGCTACTCGGGAGGCTGAGACAGGAGAATTGCTTGAACCCTGGAGGCGGAGGTTGCAGTGAGCCAAGATCATGCCACTGCACTCCAGCCTTGGTGACAGAGCACAACTCGGTCTCCAAAAAAAAAAAAAAATCGATTTTATTAAATTTTTTTTGTTTGTTTTTGCTTTTTATTTTGAGATGGAGTCTTGCTCTGTCGCCCAGGCTGGAGGGCAATGGTATGATCTCAGTTAACTGCAACCTCCGCCTCCTGGGTTCAAGTGATTCTCCTTGCCTCAGCCTCTCGAGTAGCTGGGACTACAGGTGCATGCCACCACGCTCAGCTAATTTTTGTATTTTTAGTAGAGACGGGGTTTCACCATGTTGGCCAAGCTGGTCTTGGAACTCCTGACCTTGTGATCCGCCCGCCTCGGCCTCCCAAAGTGCTGGGATTAGAGGCAAACCAAAAAGAGTCCAGGACCAGACAGATTCACAGCCGAATTCTACCAGAGGTACAAGGAGGAGCTGGAACCATTCCTTCTGAAACTATTCCAATCAATGGAAAAAGAGGGAATCCTCCCAACTCATTTTATGAGGCCAACATCATCTTGATACCAAAGCTTGACAGATACAACAAAAAAAGAGAATTTTAGACCAATATCCCTGATGAACACTGATGCAAAAATCCTCAATAAAATACTGGCAAACCGAATCCAGCAGCACATCAAAAAGCTTATCCACCATGATCAAATGGGCTTCATTCCTGTGATGCAAGGCTGGTTCAACATATGCAAGTCAATAAACGTAATCCAGCATATAAACAGAAACAAAGACAAAAACCACATGATTATCTCAATACATGTAGAAAAGGCCTTTGACAAAATTCAACAGCCCTTCATGCTAAAAAACTCTCAATAAATTCGGTATTGATGGAACGTATGTCAAAATAATAAGAGCTATTTATGACAGACCCACAGCCAATATCACACTGAATGGGCAAAAACTGGAAGCATTCCCTTTGAAAACTGGCACAAGACAGGGATGCCCTCTCTCACCACTCCTATTCAACATAGTGTTGGAAGTTCTGGCTAGGGCAATCAGGCAAGAGAAATAAAGAGTATTCAGTTAGGAAAAGAAGAAGTCAAATTGTCCCTGTTTGCAGATGACATGATTGTATATTTAGAAAACCCCATTGTCTCAGCCCAAAATCTCCTTAAGCTGATAAGCAACTTCAGCAAAGTCTCAGGATACAAAATCAAGGGGCAAAAATCACAAGCATTCTTATACACCAGTAACAGACAAACAGAGAGCCAAATCATAAATGAACTCCCATTCACAATAGCTTCAAAGAGAATAAAATACCTAGGAATCCAACTTACAAGGGATGCAAAGGACCTCTTCAAGGAGAACTGCAAACCACTGCTCAGTGAAATAAAAGAGGACACAAACAAATGGAAGAACATATCATGCTCATGGATAGGAAGAATCAATATTGTGAAAATGGCCATACTGCCCAAGGTAATTTATAGATTCAATGCCATCCCCATTAAGCTACCAATGACTTTTTTCACAGAATTGGAAAAAACTGCTTTAAAGTTCACATGGAACCAAAAGAGACCCTGCATTGCCAATACAATCCTAAGCCAAAAGAACAAAGCTGGAGGCATCATGCTACCTGACTTCAAACTACACTACAAGGCTACAGTAACCAAAACAGCATGGTACTGCTACCAAAACAGATACAGACCAATGGAACAGAACAGAGCCCTCAGAAATAATACCACACATCTACAGCCATCTGATCTTTGACAAACCTGACAAAAACAAGAAATGGGGAAAGGATTCCCTATTTAATAAATGGTGCTGGGAAAATTGGCTAGCCATAAGTAGAAAGCTGAAACTGGATCCTTTCCTTACTCCTTATACAAAAATTAATTCAAGATGGATTAGAGACTTAAATGTTAGACCTAAAACCATAAAAACGCTAGAAGAAAACCTAGGTAATACTCTTTAGGACATAGGCATGGGCAAGGACTTCATGTCTAAAACACCAAAAGCAATGGCAACAAAAGCCAAAATTGACAAATGGGATCTAATTAAACTAAAGAGCTTCTGCACAGCAAAAGAAACTACCATCAGAGTGAACAGGCAACCTACAGAATGGGAGAAAATTTTTGCAATCTACTCATCTGACAAAGGGCTAATATCCAGAACCTATAAAGAACTCAATCAAATTTACAAGAAAAAAACAACCCCATCAAAAAGTGGGTAAGGGATATGAACAGACACTTCTCAAAAGAAGATATTCATACAGCCAACAGACATATGAAAAAATGCTCCTCATCACTCACCATCAGAGAAATGCAAATCAAAACCACAATGAGATACCATCTCACACCAGTTAGAATGGCAATCATTAAAAAATCAGGAAACAACAGGTGCTGGAGAGGATGTGGAGAAATGGGAACACTTTTACTCTCTTGGTGGGACTGTAAACTAATTCAACCATTGTGGAAAACAGTCTGGCAATTCCTCAAGGATCTAGAACTAGAAATACCATTTGACCCAGCCATCCCATTACTGGGGATATACCCAAAGGATTATAAATCATGCTGCTATAAAGACGCATGCACACATATGTTTATTGCAGCACTATTCATGATAGCAAAGACTTGGAATCAACCCAAATGTCCATCAGTGACAGACTGGATTAAGAAAATGTGGCACATATACATCATGGAATACTATGCAGCCATAAAAAAGGATGAGTTCGTGTCCTTTGTAGGGACATGGATGCAGCTGGAAACCATCATTCTCAGCAAACTATCGCAAGAACAGAAAACCAAATACCGCGTGTTCTCACTCATAGGTGGGAATTGAACAATGAGATCACTTGGACACAGGAAAGGGATCATCAGACACCGGGTCCTACTGTGGGGAGGGGGTGAGGAGAGGGATAGCATTAGGAGATATACCTAATGTAAATGACGAGTTAATGGGTGCAGCACACCCACATGGCACATGTATACATATGTAACAAACCTGCACGTTGTGCACATGTACCCTAGAACTTAAAGTATATATATAACAAAAAAAAAAAACATTACTGAACTGTACACTTTAAAATGGTTAATATGGGCCGGGCCTGGTGGCTCATGCCTGCAATCCCAGTACTTTGGGAGGCCGAGGCGGGCAGATCCTGAGGTCAGGAGATCGAAACCATCCTGGGTAACATGGTGACACCCTGTCTCTACTAAAAATACAAAGAATTAGCCAGGCGTGGTGTCACATGCCTATAGTACCAGCTACTTGAGAGGCTGAGGCAGGAGAATGGCTTGAACCCAGGAGGTGGAGGTTGCAGTGAGCCAAGATTGCACCACTGCACTCCAGCCTGAGTGACAGAGCAAGACTCTGTCTCAATTAAAAAAAAAAAAAAGAAAAAAGAGAAAGATTAATATGGTAACCAACTTAAGTGCTTGAATGGATTCTTTGTCAATAGGCATCCTGTAATTAGAAAACATCTTGTATCCCTAATTTCATATCCATTACCAACAAACCTTAACACAAACTATAAAATATTACAGTACAAAATGTAGTATGCTTTGCCAAGCTCACAATTTCTTTCTTTTTTTCTTTTGGAGACAGTCTTGCTCTGTCACCCAGGCTGGAGTGAGTGCAGTGGTACGATCTTGGCTCACTGCAACCTCCACCTCCCGGGTTAGAGCAATTCTCCTGCCTCAGCCTCCTGACTAGCTGGGACTACAGGTGTCCGCCACCACGCTTGGCTAATTTTTTTGTTGTATTTTAGTAGAGTTGGGGTTTTACCATGTTGCCCAGGCTGGTCTCCAACTCCTAACCTCGGGCAGTCCGCCTGCCTTGCCCTCCCAAAGTCCAGGATTACAGGCATGAGACACCGCACTTGACCCCAAGCTCACAATTTCTATTCAGTGCTTTTCACAGTGAGGGATAGGCAGTATAGCTATCATTATAATAATAACTCATTATTCAACTTTTTCAGGACAATGAGGTGAGAACAATATAAAGTGATCTTTTTCTAAATTTTTCTGAATTCAACTGATTCTTAAAGCAATGATAAAGCATATATAAATAAATAACTTACATCTTGTTAATTTCTTTGGACTCTGTGAAGGCACTGGCTGGTTATCAGTGTGTGAAAGACGAAGCTCTGATTCCTCTTGGGAGACCCAGCCTGGGATAAAAGAAGTAAAAATTGTCCATTGTTAATCAAATAGGAAGTAGCATCAGAAAAACAAGAAAAAGTAAAAATATCTAAGTCCTCCAGTCTCTGTACATGGGTAAGATTCTATAGTGTAAGAGGTATAAAATACTGAAAACTTATCTATAGTCACATATTTTCATCATCTTAGTTTCAGATAGAGTTGGATCCAACTTCCTTACATTTTTCAAAGTGGTTTTGAAATAAACATGTGGAGTGTTTAAAAAATAATTGAAATGCAAAAGGTATAGGAAGAAGTTCTTAAGAGTCAAGAAGGGAGGAATAGGCCTGATAATTGGAATGCTGAAACCTATAAATATGCTCATACCCTTGGACTCATTGATCCCATTTCTAGCAATTTTTCTTACGGAAATAATTTAGCTGAAGGAAAAAGTGCATGCATGACTTTTTTTTGCAGCATTATCTGTAATAATGAACAAGTAGAAACAATAAGGAATCAGGTAGATTATGTTATATAAAATGACAGTACTTTGTAATTAAAACTTGTCATTATGAATACTCTATGGGAATGTGGAGAAATGTTTGGTACAACATGAAAAACCATTTATGCTATGATTAAGGCACAGCACTAGAAAGGAATTTAGATTATCCTGCCTAATCCCTTCCTTGTATGGAAAAGATCATCTGAGGCCCACTGTAGATAGGGTTCCTCAAACACAGATCTTTTAACTCCCAGGGAAGCTCCCTTTCCTGGTCTGCACCACAGGAGAGACAGAAGTAGATATTAAGGAAAGACTGGTAAAGTAGAGTTCTGCACAAAGAGGCAGGGGCAGATTTTGGTCCTGTCTTAACTATTTAAATTGTCTGACGACCTTTAGCAAGTTACTCAAATACTGTGGGTTTCAACTGTTCAGCTATTAAATTGGAATATCCTGTCTGCCTGCAGGTAGGGCTCAGAGCACATATTTTGAATAGTGAAAAAATACTGTTGAGAATTGCATTGCCAGAAACTAAAAGTTCAGTGCTGCTAGAGACGTGGCAAGTTACGGAGGAGGAGGGAGGAGTTGATAGTGGAGAATAAAATCAGTTTGTAAATCTTTATAGCTACTGGGCCATTGATATGCCATACAAGAATAAATATTTTTAAAGATTTTACTGTAGCAAAAACACCTGAATTATCCCAGATAGAGTACCTTGTTATCAAATAATATTGTCTATTCTTATTTATATTATAAATAGAATATAAGTAATACAAATATTCTGTTTATATTATATATTATTCTATTCAATCAATTCTTACTGAGTGATTATTTAACTAACATTTAGTTTATTAATTGAGCCAACTGCATGCTGCTGTCATATAAAGTACAAAGATGACTCACTCTACATATCATGCCCTTGGGATGCCTGTAGATAAAGCATGTACCTCAGTATTTAGTACAAAGTGCAATGCATTAAGACACTGTCAAGTGCTGTGAGGAGTCCCCCCATCCAGGGGTTAAAATCTAGGATGTGAGAGACTGGGATATAAAGCAAAATAAAGTAGGATTAGAACCATGAAAATAGATAAACACCACAGGAGGAGGGAGAAACCATTTCCATTTGGCAGTACTGAGGAAGACTTCAAGGACTGACAATCATGGAGAAAACACTGGATTGGAATCTAATACTTAGGCCCACGTCCAAGCTCCATTACTGAACATCAGAAGCAGAAGAAGCAACACGAGCACAGATAGATGCATCAGAGGGCTGTAGAGCACTCAGTGTGATTATAGAAAACGGCAAGTATTCTTCCTTCACTTCAATAGGAGATAGGAGATATGGGTGGAAATGCGACGTAGGCAGGTTTTATCCCTAGAAACCATGGTGTTTCATTTTTAAAAATGTAAGCTGGGTGCTGACATCAGAATCTGCTGCTTGGAGAGAGAACTCCACGGAAGTGTAGAAGATGAATTGGGGGTTGGAGACCTGTTAGTAACTCTTGCAATAACCTAGGAAACCAAATGAGACTCTAAATGGCTCTGGTGTTGAGGCAGAGAGGAGTGGGAAATTTGAGACAGGTTTCAGAAACAGAACTGACAGGATTTGGTAACCAATATGGATGTGGGAAGCAAAGTGACCCCCAAGGTGCAGGGTTGGACACAGGATGGTGGACTCTTTCCTGCTACCTTGCCCAGAAAGGGAACCAGCCTCCAGAGCTGTTCCTTTTCCTCTTGTCAACTCCAAACTCAGCAAGTTTTGCTTGATGGAAGAAACAGTATTGACTGCCCTAGGGAGGAGTAATTAGCAGGTCAAGTGTTTTAAACCAGACGCCTGGAAAAATCAGTGAAGAAAACTTGGGGTCTGGTGAAGGTGGCAGGGAAGCAGCCCTTGTTTCAGTCTTGTTGACAGATTCCTGAGGTGACTAATATTTTTCCAGTTGACTGGTGGATTGCAGATTTTATCTAGTAGAGCTGACGTTAAAATCAATCTCCTTGTTGATTCTAGCATCAATAAGCACACCATTTTACTTCACAAAGATAAAGTAAAGCACATATGTCCAAATGTTTCATAGACACTTACTGTTGAATGCTCCAGCCGCATGAAAGCCAAGGTCAAAAAGTTGTGAAGGAAGGAATCGAGAAGAATGAGTGAGGGGCTCAGACCCCATGGAAGGCTCCTGGGACGTGAGACTGGCACTGGGGCTCCCAAAGCCAGTCTGGCATTCTTGGGTAAATTCACTAGTACTTGAAGAACCAGAACTTAGGAGGTTGTTCAGAAATGAGAATTCCTTCTCAAAATCTTCTCCTTCCAATGAATCTACAGGTAGATCTTTTGCAACTATTGAGTGTAAATAAAAACAGAAAGGCTTTTTTTGATTTTAGGAAATGAGAATAAGACATAGGATGAATCAAATTTGTTTCATTGTTTTCATACTATATTAACAGTTTTAAACAACTAAAGTGACTGCAAGTTTATGTGAAAATGATTTCTAACTAGGCAGGATTTAGGTCAAAATGGCCACATTTCACAATGAAGATATAACTTATGAAGAGCTATATATGAAATAATTAAGCTACCATCTAAGTCAGAAACCAAAGGAGATGCAAAAAGGCATAGAAACAAATTAGTAATATGACACTTTAATATACCAGTCTGACTAAAAAACACGCCAAGAGGACAACAGATAAAAAGGATCAAAAGAGCGTAATCAATAATGTAGTTATTTTGGATAACACAAACCCCGGTAATAGAAACATTCTTCTTAACCACACATTGAAAATGTACAAAAGTTGATTATACTAAGGCACAAACACACAAAAAATTGTATTCTTAAAGTAGGAACATTACAAACAACATGCTCTGATGATAATGTAATAAAAAGACAATTCTACAATGAAACTATAAAAACAGAAAGGTTCTTCCACCTGTAAATCTTAAAACCTTCTACCAAACAATGTTGAAATAATGAGAAACATCATTATTTCGGAAAAATGATGAAGGAAATATTTTATATCATAATTCATGGTGTTAAGTAAAATGTATAGACCATTGGTTTGGACTGAGCTCTTGTACTAGACCCAACAGACCAAACCAAAATGGAGTCACTCATGCTAAAGTTCTACATCACCAAACCAAACTAAGTTATCTGGCCTTTCAAGAAATTAGGAGAGAGACACCACAGCCAAGTCCCCAAGCAGGCCAGTCCTAGCTGGCATGATAAGGAAATGCCCTCTGCTTTAACCCTTACAAGAAAAGTAACTGCAATGATCAATCTACTTTTTGTTTTCTGTTTCTGCTTTCCCGGGTCCTTTTCTGTCTATAAAACCAACCTCCTCAGAACACCCATTCCATGTTATAGAATGGGGTATTGCTTGATTCTAGAATTGCAAATAAAAGCCAATTAAGGTCTTTAAATTTGCTGTAATTTTACCTTTTGACAACAGAATAGTTAAATGGCATGAACAAAGGCAAAAATCATATCCCTTAAACATTTTTATAAATAAAAATGAAAGGGAGGGGCATCACAGACCTGCACCCCAGCATAATTGGTGACAGTTATTTTTCAAAAGAAAGAAGCATTTAAAGTCTCTGGAAATAGTCCCAAGGATATGCAGCAAATGAGGAAATATTTACTTAAGATTAAGTCTACAATAATTTAGGAAAAGTGGCAAGAGTTTGTGGTATTTGAACTGAGAACCAGTCCCATCTTCCCAATTTCCAACTTAGCAAAATGGAGATTCCACTCCAGTCTGGTGCAGCCAGAACACAGGGCTCCTTCTCTCTCCACCTGTCAGTCAAGGGCTAGCTTCCCAGGAGGAGTAAGATGCCAGCATTTCACATCCTGTCCCCAGTTACCTGTTGCTGAGGCTAAATCCTAGGTGAGTGCAGTCAATAGATGATAGAGGCTCCCATCTCCTCCCCAGATCCCTCATGGGTTGGGAAGTCTGAGCTTGGTGTAGTGTGCTGAGAATATAGGGCCCCTGATCACGGGACCCTGCTAGTAAAGTGGTGGTTTCATGAAGAAAGAGGCAAGCTAAGAAGACCTAAGGCTACCATCACTCTCCTCACCTAGCACTCGGCTCCTAGAGCAAGGATGACACTCAGGAAGAAGTATGCCATTGTCCCCACTCCCGGCTCAAGCTCTGACTCAGAGATTTTCCTTGCAGGGGGTGAGGAAGAACCATAAAACTGATAGTTCCTAATCCCCTTCCAAAGGCACTGACTTCATTTGTAACAGAGTGTAGAGAAATTCAACCCTAAGGATGCTCTCAAAACAGTGGAGGTTTTAGTAACAGGCAACTGGGAGAAGACTTATAGTGTATGAGTCTCAACATGTAGGCTAAACTGTAGGCCAGCTACTTTGCCTGAAGGAACCAGGGAAAAAGCCAGCTGGGGTCACCACAAATTTCAGTGACCTTAAGAACTATTTATTTAAATGAGTCCAAATTTGATTGGTTTATTGTGTGGAACAATTTATGCTCCAGGGACTGTTGAAATCAACAGAGCAATCAGCAAGAAGAAAAAATGATATCTTGGACTTATAAAGAATTTTGTGCTTCCAAAGGCAAAATTGAGAAAATAAAAAGACTATAAAATATAAAAGACTGGGATAAAATATTTACAAGTCATATATCTGATAAAGGACTTTATAAAAAATATATAAACTCTTAAAACTTAATAAGATAAGCAACCCAATTAAATAATGGGCAATAGATTTGAATAGATTTGTCAGTAAGGAAGATATACGAATGGCCAATAGCACATGAAAAGAGTCTCAACACCATCAGTCACTGGAGAAATGCAAGTCAAAGCTACAAATTAAAAGCACTAGAATAGCCAGGCACTGTGGCTCACACCTGTAATCCCAACACTTTGGGAGACTGAGGCAGGTGGATCTCCTGAGGTCAGGAGTTTGAGACCAGCCTGGCCAACATGGCAAGACCCTGTCTCTACTAAAAATACAAAATTAGCTAGGCATGGTGGCGAATGCCTGTAATCCCAGCTACTCAGGAGGCAAGGTTGGAGAATCGCTTGAACCCGGGAGGCGAAGGTTGCAGTGAGCTGAGATTGCACCATTGCACTCGAGCCTGGGCAACAAGAGCAAAACTCCCTCTCAAAAAAAAAAAAAAAAAAGCACTAGAATAACTGTTATTTAAAATATACCGGGCATGGTGGCTCATCTCTGTAATCCCAGCACTTTGGGAGGCCAAGGCAGGTGGATCACTTGAGGCCAGGAGTTCAAGACCAGCCTGGCCAACATGGTGAAACCCCATCTCTACTAAAAATACAAAAATTAGCTGGGTGTGGTGGCACATGCCTGTAATCCCAGCTACTCAGGAGGCTGAGGCAGGAGAATCACTTGAACCCAGGAGGTGGAGATGGCAGTGAGCTGAGATCGTGCCACTGCACTCTAGCCTGGGTGACAGAGTGAGACTCTGTCTTAAAAAATAAAATAAAATATAGACAATACCAAATGTTGGCAAAGATGTGGAGAAACTAGAACCCTCACACTTTGCTGGTGGAAATAAAATGGTGCAATTATTTTGAAAAAAGTTTGGCCGTTCCTTAAGAAGTTAAATTCACCATGTAACCTAGCAGTTCCACTCCTGGGAATCTAACCAAGGCAAACGACAATGTATGCCCACACCAAGAGAAGTACATGAATGTTCAGTAGTCACAGTAGTAGTATAATAGCCAAAAATTATAAACAATCCAAATATCCATCAACTGGTAAATAAGTAAACATAAGATGGTATATATCCATACAATGGAATACTATTGCTTAATAAAAAGTAATAAACTGGCCGAGTACAGTGGCTCACACCTGTAATCCCAGCACTTCATGAGGCCGAGGTGGGCGGATCACAAGGTCAGGCCATCCTGGCTAACACACTGAAACCCTGTCTCTACTAAAAATACAAAACAAATTAGCCGGGCGTGGTGACATGCGCCTGTAGTCCCAGCTACTGGGGAGGCTGAGGCCGGAGAATCGCTTGAACCCGGGAGGCAGGTTGCAGTGTGCCAAGATCGTGCCACTGCACTCCAGCCTGGGCGACAGAGTGAGACTAGGTCTCAAAAAATAATAATAATAAACTACTGATACATACCACAACATGGATGACTCTAAAAACCATTAATTGGAAGATGCCAGAAATAAAGGACTAACCTTTTGTATGGCTTCATTTATATGAAATGTCCAGAAAAGGCAAATTTATAGAGATAAAAACAGATTACTAATTACCTACGGCTTGGAGTGAATCAGAGATTAATTTAAAACAAGCGTGAGAGAATTTTGGGGGTAATGGAAACATTCTAATATCTAATTGTGGTAATGGTTGCATAATCTAAATTTTCTAAAAATTATGAACTGTTAGAATGGGTGAAATTTATGGTATTTAAATTATACCTGAATAAAGCTGTTAAACATAAAAAGAAATTTTGTACAACTCTATTTCAAATAAATTTAGAAGTCTAGACAAAATGAATAATTTATTAGAAGAATATAATTTACTAAAATCAATCCCAGTACAGACTAAAAGCTTAAATGGACTGATTTCTGTAGATACAAAAAACACACAACTACAAGAAAGCACTAGACCTAGATGTTTTCATAGGTTAAGAAATGAATAAGAGGCCGGGCACAGTGGCTCACACTTAGCAAATCGCAGCACTTTGGGAGGCTGAAGTGGGCGGATCACCTGAGGTCAGGAGTTCAAGACCAGCTTGGACAACATGACGAAACCCCATTTCTATTTCTATATACACACACACACACACAAAAATTAGCCAGGTGTGGTGGTGGGTGCCTGTAATCCCAGCTACTCAGGAGGCTGAGCCAGGGAGAATTGCTTGAACCTGGGAGGTGGAGGTTCCAGTGAGCAGAGATCATGTCACTGCACTCCAGCCTGGGTGACAGAGAGAGAGACTCCATCTCAACAACAACAACAAAAGAATGCAAAAAGAGCCAGGCGTGGCAGCTCATGCCTGTAATCTCAGCACTTTGGGAGTCCTAGGCAGGTGGAGCACCTGAGGTCAGGAGTTCAAGACCAGCCTGATCAACATGGTGAAACCCCATCTCTACTAAAAATACAAAATTAGCCAGGCATGGTGGCATGCACCTGTAATCCCAGCTATTTGGGAGGCTGAGGCAGAAGAATTGCTTGAACCTGAGAGGCAGAGGTTGCAGTGAGCCAAGAACGTGCCACTGCACTCCAGCCTGGGTGAGAAGAGTGAAACTCCATCTCAAAAAAAAAAAAAAAAAAAAAGAATGCAAAGAGAGTAGTAAAATGTTAGCAAGCAGACTAGTATAAAATGACAAAGCTGGACTTACAACTGGAATGCAAACATGATATAATATCAGGAAACCTATTATTATAGTTCATCATATTAATATATTTAAGAAGAAAAAGCAAATATTTCCTGGCATAGATACTGAAAAAGCTGCCAACAAAATTCAACAACTATTAGCTGGGTGTGGTGGTATGCACCTGTAATCCCAGCTACTTGGGAGGCTGAAGCATGAGAATCGCTTGAACCCAGGAGGCAGAGGTTGCAGTGAGCCAAGATCACACCACTGCACTCCTGCCTGGGTGACAGAGTGAGACTCCATCTCAAAAAAAAAAAAAAAAAAAAAAAAAAATCAACAACCATTCCTAAAAAAAATTCTTAAGAAAGTAAGTATGGATGGATGCTTCTTTAACATTATGAAATATATCTGTGTCCAAAGCCAGCATCTTAGTTAATTCAGAAATATAGGCATTTCCACTAAAGTCAGGAAATGTTCACTACTAGTTAACATTGTTCTAAAGGTAGTAGCCAATGTAATTAAACAGGAGAAATCTATGAGTTGGTAAGGAGAAAAAACAAGACAATCTCTATTTTCAGATGACATGACAAATAACAAAAGAATTCAGCTGTATTCCAGGATATAAAACTAACATGCAAAAGTGAATAGCATTCATATATACAAAATAACTAATGAAAAGATATAATGGAAAAGAAAACCCCATTTACAATAGCAACCAGAAAGATAAAATACATAGAAATAAACTTAACAGGAAATATTCAAAACCTGTATAAAAAAAAGTCTGAAAGATATACAAGTAAACTTTAACAAATGGAAGGATGTCCCTTGTTTTTCATGAGGATGTCTCAAGATGATCAGCCTGTCAGTTTTCACATTTAATGTGATTACAATAAAGTATCAAGCTTTTTAATAAAGCCCCACAATTTTATATTCAAATTGAAAAAATAAACATGCAAAAATGGCTAAGAAAATAATAATAATTAAAAAAGGAGGGGGGCTTCTAGCCTTACCAGATACTAAAACTAGAAGAAAGTTTCTGTAATTAAAACTATGTGGGCCGGGCGTGATGGCTCACTCCTGTAATCCAGAGGCGGGCGGATCACCTGAGGTCAGGAATTCAAGACCAGCCTGACCAACATGGAGAAACCTTGCCTCTACTAAAAATACAAAATTAGCCGGGTGTGGTGGCACAAGCCTGTAATCCCAGTTACTTGGGAGGCTGAGGCAGGAGAATCGCTTGAACCTGGGAGGCAGAGGTTGCAGTGAGCCAAGATTGCACCATTGCACTCCAGCCTGGGCAATGAGGGCAAAACTCCATCTCAAAAAAAAAAAAAAAAACTTGTGGCACTGGTGCATGCACACACCATTTGAAATATAAAGAAAGTCTAGAAATACATCCAAGTGGAAATAGAAATATAGTATATTACAAGATGTTATCTCAATACTAGGACAAAGATGGCATTTTAATAAATTACATAAAGGGCAGGGCGTGGTGGCTCTCGTCTGTAATTCTAGCACTTTGGGAGGCTGAGGTGGGCAGATCACTTGAGGCCAGGAATTTGAGACCAGCCTGTCCAACATGACGAAACCCCATCTCTACTAAAAATACAAAAAATTAGCTGGGCATAGTGGCGCACGCCTGTAATCCTAGCTATTTGGGAGGCTTAGGCACAAGAATTGCTTGAACCCAGAAGGCAGAGGTTGCAGTGAGCGAAGATCATGCAGCCTGGATGACAGAGCAAGGCTGTTTTTAAAAAAAAAAAAATTATATAAAGGATAGCCTTTGGGGGGTGGGGGGGAAAGGTAACATTTGATCTATTGCTAACACTATACACATGAATTAACTTCAAATGAATTCAAGATCCAAATGTAAAAAATAATACTACATAAATACCAGAAGAAAGCATAAGAGTATTCTTCTATACTCTGGGTTTAGGAAAAGCTTCCTGACTATGACTAAAGTCCAGATCCAATAAAAGAAAAGATTAACCAATTGGACTGTATTTAAAGCTTAAAAAAATTTTTTTTAACTTAAAAAAAATTAAAGAAACAAAGTCACAAGACAAATGACAAACTAGGAGAAAATGTTTACAACCTAATTGCTTGAGAAAGATATTCAAGGTAGTTATTTAATGCTTAGGAAGTACCTTAAAGTTGATTTAGTCTTGATCCTCATTTTACAGATAAGGAAACCCGATGTTGGGGGCATACTTTTGTTTCTTGAATAGTGATTTTAATGTATTTAATGTTGAACGACATTTACTATTTTGCTAGTATCTAATGACACTAGATATACAAACAATTGTATTCATTCATTCAACAAATATTTACTGAGTGCTTATACTGCTGGTGGCTGAGATACGTGAGACAGAAAAGCAGACACAGCCCTAGCTGTCCTGGTTATACAGATACATTCTGATAGGGCCCAAACATACAAAACAAATAATTATTTAATTTCCATTGTGATGTGCTACAAAGTAGAAGCACATAATTGCATTCTTATATAGAGACCGAGACAGTTTCTAATGTTAAGGAAATAGATGTTAAATAAAAATTGAAGAATTTTAAAGAATCATTCATATGTAGAGTGAAATGATTATTTCTTACCATTTTCAGAGTTAGAAAACTGAGGTGCTCCAAATTCTCTCATTTGAGAATGTTTTTCCTTGTGATCTTTGTTTGCTAAATTAAAAGCACACAAAAGAGAATTTGAACAAGAAGAAATTCAGCAAGCTTATTTACTGTAATATTTTATCATTAGGTCAAGTGTTCAATTGACCAAATCAGAATCTAAAACATACAAAAGGGAAACATAAAAATTTAAATAATCTTATATATAAAAATCACATTTGTGTGTGTGTGTGTGTGTGTGTGTGTGTATAAAAATAATACCAGAGGTATTCAAGTTCTCTATTAAGTCTCTGTCCCCTTGAAATGTAAGTTTTCACGTTCCAAAGCCTGTTCCTTCCTTGTGGAGCTGTTCTTATTCTACACTCTCTGATAGGTCATTTTATATTTGTTCTGCCTGATCTCCATACCTTGACACTCTGGCACAATGGATGTTCATTTTACATTGAATGAATGAATGTGGTCTACGATTTTATTGTTTAATTAACAAAAGTATATAATTTATTACATACAACATGTTTTGATATATGTAATACATTGTGAAATGACTAAATTTAGCTAATTAACATTTGTATTACCTCACATACCATTTTTTGTGGTGAGAACACTGCTCTCTTAACAGTCTGTTGTTGTTGGTTTTTGAGACAGAGTCTTGCTCTGTCGCCCCAGGCTGGAGTGCAGTGGCACAATCTCGGCTCACTGCAATCTCCATTTCTGGGGTTCAAGTGATTCTCCTGTCTCAGCCTCCCAAATAGCTGGGATTACAGGCATGTGCCACCACACCTGGCTAATTTTTATATTTTCAGTAGAGATGGGGTTTTGCCATGTTGGCCAGACTGGTCTTGAACTCCTGACCTCAAGTGATCCTCCTGCCTTGGCCTCCCAAAGTGCTGGGATTACAGGTGTGATCCACCATGCCTGGTCTCTCTTAACAATTTTCAAGAATATATTGTTATTAAATACAGTCACCAAGTTTTACAATAGATCTTTTGAACTTACTCCTCTTGTCTAGTTGAAATTTTGTATCCTTTGGCCATCTCCACAGTGCCCTCCCCACAAACTACCTACCACTCTACTCTCTGCTTCTATGAATTCAGCTTTTTAGATTCCACAAGTAAGTGAGATCATGTGGTATTTGTCTTACTGTGTCTGCCTTATTTTATTTTGCATAATGTCCTCTGGGTTCATTAATTTAGTCACAAATGACAGGCTTTCCTTCTTTTTGAAGGCTGAATAGTATTCCATTGTGTACACATGCCATAATTTTATCTATCTGTTCATCTGTTGATGAACACTCTATATCTTGGCTATTGTGATTAAGGATATGGTCTACTTTTTTTTGAGAAAGGGTCATGCCCTGTTGCCCAGGATGGAGTGCAGTGGCGTGATCAGATCTCACTACAGCCTCCAACTCCCAGGCTCGAGAGATCTTCCCACCTCAGTAGCTGGGACTCCTCCCAAGTAGCTGGGACTATAGGTGTGTCTCACCATGCCTGAATAATTTTTTAAAATTTTTTGTAGAAACAGGGTCTCACTATGTTACGCAGGCTAGTTTTGAACTTCTGGGCTCAAGCAATCCTCCCACCTTGGCCTCCCAAAGTGCCAGGATAACAGGTGTGAGCCACTATGCCTGGACAAGGATATGGTTTACTGTTAACAATTTGTACGTATTTGTGGGGCACATGTGAATTTTTACTATGTGTATATAATGAGTAGTGGTCAAGTCAGGGTATTTAGTGTGTTTGTCATCTGAGTACAGTATATTTTTGTTAATAACCATACTCTGCTATCAAACTTTGATATATTCCTTCTATTTAACTGTTTGTTTGTATCTTTTAACTTACCTCTCTTCATCCTTCTCTCTGCCCCCACCACTCACCCTTTCCAGCCTCTGTTATCTATTTTTCTATTCTCTACCTACATGTGATCAAAATTTTTAGCTCCCACATACAAGTGAGAATGTGTGATATCTGTCTTTTTGTGCCTGGCTTATTTCACTTAAGATAATGACCTCCAGTTCCATCCATGTTGCTGCAAATAATAGAATTTCATTCTTTTTATGGCTGAATAGTTTCCATTGTGTATATATACTACTTTTTCTTTATTCATTCATCCACTGATGGACACTTAGGGTTGATTCCATATTCTTGCTATCATGAATACTAATGCAATAATCGTGCAAGTGCAAGTATCACTTTTATATATTAATTTCTTTTCCTTTGGACAGATAACCACTAGTGGAATGCTGGATCAAATAATTCTATTTTTAATTTTCTGAGCAATCTCTATACTGTTTTTCATAGTGGCTATACTAGTTTACATTCCCACCAACAGTGTATAAGAGTTCTCTTTTCTCTGCATCCTCACCAGCATGTGTTATTGCTTGTCTTTTTAATAATAGCCATTCTGACTAGGGTAAGCTGATATCTCACTGTGGAACTGATTTACATTTCCCTGATGATTAGTGATGTTTAGCACTGTTTCATATACCTATTGACGACTGGTATGTCTTCCTTTGAGAAACATCTACTATTGATGTCCTTTGCCCACTTTTTAATGTTTATTTTTCTTGTTGAATTATTTGAGTTCCTCGTATATCCTGGATATTAGTCCCTTGCTGGAAGAACAGTTTGCAAATACTTTATCCCATTGAAGAGATTGTAGCTGCACTCTGTTGATAATTTATTTTGCTGTGCAGAAGATTTTTAGTTTAATTAAGTCCCTTTTGTCTATTTTTGGTTTTGTTCTTTGTGCTTCTGAGGTCTTAGTCATAAATTATTTGCCTAGAAAAACGCCCAGGAACATTTTCCTTAGATTTTTCCCTCATATTTTAATAGCTTTGGGTCTTACATTTAAGTCCTTGATCCATTTTGAGTTGATTTTGTATATGGTGGGAGATAGGGGTCCAGGTTCATTGTCCTATATGGGGCTATTAAGGATATGGTTTACTTTTAATTCAAAGGCTGCTTTATTTTTTTAGACAGAGTCTCACTCTGTTGCCAAGCTGGAGTACAGTGGTGCGATCTAGGCTCACTGCAGTCTCCACCTCCCGGGTTCAAGTGATTCTACTGCCTCAGCCTCCCGAGTAGCAGGGATTACAGGTATGCACCACCACAGTCAGCTAAGTTTTTTTGTATTTTTAGTAGAGATGGGGTTTCACCATGTTGGCCAGGATGGTCTCGATCTCCTGACTCTGTGATCTGCCTGCCTTGGCCTCCCAAAGTGCTGGGATTACAGGTGTGAGCCACTGTGCCTGGCCTGCTACTTTATTCTTTTAAAAACTGGCCATAGCAATAAGTAGCATCTCCACATTTTTCACTTAAACTAGAGCTTTAGTAGTAATGATCTCACAGGAAAAGAAAGATCACCCACATGGCAAAAGATAGCATACTCTTTTGTGATCAAAACAGCACTGTCTTGTGTGTTTTTAAACGTTTTAAACATTTAAAAGGTCGAATATACAAACCAAAACCTCCATAGGCAAAACTCTACTAAAAAATAACTTCCAAGTTTTGAGCCTATATATCAAGACAAAAATAATTGTGCCTATTGCAACAATGGGAGCCAGTTTTTGAGAGTCAGTTTTCTACATAATCCAGTTTGTATACATTGGATTTCATCTCTATGTCATTTATTTACTCAGTACAGACACATGTAGAGACAAAAAAAAGTATATGATTTTTATAGTTTCTAACATCTTCAACTATTATTAGGGCCATTTAAAAAAATGAAATGTAAATTTCTTCTGCATACAAGGGTGGACAGTGTTGCTGTATGGAGAGCTTAAAGGATGTAATGCATCTAAGGACAAGAAAGTAATAGCTCTATTACACTATTATTAAAATTCTATGCTCAGTTTGGGATAGTATAAAAGAATATTGTAAAAGTAAAAAAAGGTAAAAGCAACCAAAGTAACTGAAAGGAAAACACATTTAAAAGGAAGATTTAAGTAAGTCAGGGTGATTTAACCTTAAGATAAGTAAGCTAAAGGATGAATTAGATTTTAAGTTCAGATACATAATATAAAAATGTTAGAAATGTACAGAAGATTTAAAATTTTTCAAATGGACTTTATCAGTAAAGATTTTAGTTGAATATAGGGGAAAAAATAGAGGAGAAAATCTAGGAATGGAAAAGAGATACCAGAGGTGGCTGGAGAAAGAAGTGAGAAGAAGAATCCTGGTTGTGGGGAAGGGAACAGGAACTGGTGACCAGAGGCAGAGTCACATCAGGGAAGGTTTCAGGCTACAGAAATAGAGTTTGGGGAATGGAGAGATGTGTTAAAGGATCTTTAAGGAAATGACTCTGGATAAGATGAAGGGTAACCTCTGTTCTCTCTCTCTCAATAATGATCTGCTTCACCTTACAGTGCTTTTGTTATGGATTCATGTAATTTGGTTTCATTTTATTTTAATGCTACAGATGGATGAAATTGGGATTAAGATAGGCAGATGAGTGAGAAAGGTCTAGCTCAAAGGCCTAGTTTTTTATTCCATTATATGAAACACCATTTGAGTGAATACCTCAGAGCATAAATGTTTGAGGGCATTTCTAATTACTTCCTCAGTAGAGGTCTTAAAGTAAAATTGCTCAAAGTCTGGGATGTTTACATTCTTCAGAAAATTTGTCCCATCCTTGCTAAATCTATAAAATACACTTTTTTCTCTGTTCTCCTGGCTTCTCTACATAAAATATAAGTTTAATGCATTGCTGGACTTGTTAGAAGTAAACAACAACAAAAATGTAAGCTGAAACCAGAGCCAGAAAAGAGAAGCAGCAAGCGAAGAAGAAAGGCAGGTATGCTGTGGGCAATGCCTGTGCTGACACTGCCAGACAAGGCCCTTGGCAAACGCAAGGAAACTGAGCCGAGCCCACAATTCCTACATTAAAATAAAGGCCCTGGAAGAGGGTTAAAGTGGTCACCAGGCTGTGAGTATTCCTTGACTCTGGAAAGCAGATAATTTTCTTTAGCAAAAAATTATCTAGGCCTCTAGGAGTCCCACAGATTAAGAGCAAACAAATATTGGCTGGTATTCACAAATCACTAAAGAAAC